AAAAAATGATAAATCAAATATTCAAGAAACTTTTATTATATTTAGTTTGTGTATTTCCAAACAGCCTGGTATAGAGAGAATATAAGAATTATTGCACAGGTCCCCTGACAGTTTGTGGCACTGTGTATGTCGTGCACAATAATATACAGCTGTGTCCTCAGTCTGAAAGTTTTGACCTCGTAAGAAAACTGTGTTGCTGGAAGTTTCAGCTGTGAAGCTGATCTTATTCTTCATCGTGTTACTGGGGCCTGTATTATCAGAACTACAGAAATAGCCTATCCATTCCATTGCTTTTCCAGTTAAATGTCGTATCCAGTTGGTACAAGCACCTCCTGACGCCGAATAACCTGTAATCTTGCAGCCGATGGAAAATGATTCCCCTGGTTTTACCACCATTAGGGCAGGCTGATTCAACTCAATGCAATTACCACCTGGGAACATCCATTTAAAAAAATATTGGCATTTAATGAATTGAGTTATTGTCACTCTCAAAATGAACATGGGCTGATTGTATTTTAAACGACTAGTAGCCCAAATAAAACAGTATAGTGTTGATTTTGATACTCACTGAGCGCAGTAGATAAAATCATCACCAATAATGTAAAGTACATGATTCTATCTGTCTGTAGTCTCTCAGATGGGACCTGTGACTCTCCACCGCAGGACTTGAAAAGCTCTTTATTGTGTCTGTATGCTTCTGTTTACATAAGGAAGGAGATTTGCATCAATGCTTTTTAGTGAACAAATTAAAATGACAACCCTAAAATTTCCCTAAAAAAACAATGAAAATATTGCAGTATATTTTGCTTATTATAAATGATAAATTAAAATGATTAAAAATCTTCTGTTTGTTTCTTTTTTGACACCGGTTTTATTAAAAATGATAACAAGGATGATAAATCTAATTATAGAAATTCCATCGGTCATTATTCAGCACATGAACAATTTATCTCAACAGAAACACAATTTTAGTATAGGCTACTTTTTAAACATTAAATAAATGGGCATTTAACTGTTGCATTTTCAAAGCTGTTAATTAACTGATATTTTACAAATAAATTATTGCATATACTTTTTATAAACCCACTTGCACAGATCGGTGGCTGCAATGAGCGCACAATGCAGGAGAATCCGAGCAATAATTTTAAAAATACAATTGAATCATGTAGGAAAACGACTAAATACGCTCTGGGGCTCTGCCAGGCCAGTTCACTACGCAGGCGTCTATAAAGACTGAACACGTAAATACATGGCGCTTTTCACATATTTACGTATTTGTAGCCTACGTAGGCCTTGTTTACAGGATTTCAAAAGCCTTTCTTACAATCCGTGAGTGCAAACATGAAGATTAAACACATAAACACAATATCCATTGCCATTTTATTAACTTGATGCAGGAAATTCATAAACAAGTTTTGTGTCTGTAGATGAATAGAGCGGGGGCTTTTAAAAGGGAGAAGTGGAAGTAGTTTTGCATAGGCTGCCCCCTAAAGGTACATTTACATTTTCTGTGTCCTTATTAACCTCTGTAACCATGTCTGACTTTCAACATATTGTTTGTTTATTCTTATTTACACGTTCAGAGATAGTAAACGATTATGATTTTTTTTTTTTTTTGGAGAAAAGAATGTATAGCTAAAGCTTATATTTACTACTATTGATTTTGCACTGTTTTATGAAAACCTTTTATAAAGATAATCATTCAAAACTCACACAGTGGACTGCTATAGAGCTCACCTACATTTTAAGTTGAGAATGATGTTATTCTAGCAAGAAATTAAAATTCTTAGAAATTAGAAAAAAGTAGTTACAGGAAAACGCTCGGAGGAGGGAAAGGAGGCAGGAACCAGCAAACATTACAACACTTTAATAAAAAAACAAAAACAAACACAAAACACAAAACAAAAGTAAAGAGGCAGTCCCGATGCGGTCAACTGCCGCACACACAGAAACAAAACATAATATGTCCAAGGCCTGGTCCTCTCTTGTCTTGCCCTGTCATTGCTCCTCCTTTTATTCATCCACATCTCCTTCCGTGAGACTTCAGGCCCATTATAAGAATTCAAGCAGAGGCTTGAAATTTATATCTATTTGGTATTTGCTATGTATCTGAACAAGATGTTCAGGACCTCTGGCAGAAAATAGGCCCACATCATTAAAGATCCAAGAGTTTTCAACTGTGGTCTTTTTTTTTTTTTTTTTTTTTTTTTTTTTTTCTTCATTTGACTATAGAAGCCAGCCCTATTTCTTCCTGTAGCGTCTGATAACCGCAAATTCTGAAGTTTGTTTTTAGATGATCAATATGTGGTGAGGATATGTACCCTCCCAAACATTATGTGGTGAGGAGCTGAATCTATCAGAACTATATTCTTTGGTTTCACTCATTATTGGCAACGCATTCTCACCCCAAGGCGTCACATTTGACCATGCTTCAATATTTGACGTTTTAGGCGCCCTTTAGCGTCACTTACATGACGCGATCCTATGGCGTCATCTAACTGACGCTAAAGGAAAGCGTCTGTTAGAGGCAGTGGTGGAGGAAGTACTGAATCTCAGTACTTAAGTAAAAGTACAAATACCCAGATAAATATTTACTTTAGTAAAAGTAGAAGTAACACAATGACAACCATACTTAAGTAAAAAGTAAAAAGTACTTTATTTTAAATGTACTTTAAGTATTAAAAGTAAAAGTACTTGCATAACAATTTATTATCTTAATGTCTATTTTCTAATGATTAATAAAACATTTAATTCTAACACATTCAACCTAATAGCCTACTCCTATAATGATGTTCAATAATGATGGAAAAAAATGTCACCATTTCTGAAACAAGCTTGCAATTAGGCAATATCATGCTTATCCTTAGTACTATATGTTAATAACTATGTTTGGCAGTAAACGCGATTCATTTATGGTGTAATTCTGAACCTCTTGGCTTGCCATAATCCTAACCAAACCAAACATATATTACACACGGTGTGTTTCCTATGCACGTAAAAACAAATTTTCGCGTATGAGTTGCATGATAAACACACTGCGTGCGAGACGCATTTAGTGTGACCGGGTTGATATATTGTATCTATGGCAACCAAACGTCACTGGTGAGACAAACGTGCAACGAACGGACGGTCAGATTACGTTTTGGCAGGGGAAAAACTGAACAGAAAATGTAACGAAAATGTAACAGAAGCTGTAGAAATGTAGTGGAGTAGAAAGTAGAATAATTGCTGCAAAATGTAACGAAGTAAAAGTAAAAAGTATGCACTATTTATTGTACTTAAGTAAAGTAAAGATACGTGAAAAATGTACTTAAGTAAAGTAACGAAGTATTTGTACTTCGTTACATTCCACCACTGGTTAGAGGACGTGGTTAGGTTTAGGTGTGGGGTGGGGGTAGGGTACACGCGATCCTAGGGCGTCATCTAACTGACGCTAAAGGGCGCCTAAAGCGTCAGATATTGAAGCATGTCCAAATGCTTCCCAAGGCGTCAGTTAGGTGACGCCTTGGGAGTGAGAATGGGCTGTTATTGGTGATGGATGATTATGGGAATTTGGCCTTGGGAGTGAGAATGGGCTGTTATTGGTGATGGATGATTATGGGAATTTGGCCTTTCTATTTCCACATATTTATTCTCCTGACAATTTCATGTTTCTAGTCACCCTGCTGTGATAAAAACTTTTTTTTTCCAATATTAATGAGAATATACTTCAGAGATATTATACTCATGAGAATTTCTATGGCAATAATTGTGGCCAACATGTTTTGGAGAACAACATATATTTCATAATTTGATTCACCATCCTTGAGCCCTCAGAGATCACATGAGTAGTTTTTGTTCAGCCCTGCAGACGTTTGTCTTACTGTGAATCTCTGGCACAGTAATAAACAGCTGTGTCTTCAGTCTTCAGGCTTTTCACCTCTAAATACAGCATCTCTTTGCTGGTGTCTTTTGTGATGGAGAACTGGCCCTGTAGAGACTGAGCATAATATGCACTTGAGCCAGTGTCTATATATCCGATCCACTCCAGTCCTCTCCCTGGTTTCTGACGGATCCAGTCCATGTAGTAGCTGCCCACTGAGAATCCAGAGACACCGCAGGACAGAGTCACTGATTCTCCTGGTCTTTTCACCACAGAATCCGAGGAGCTCAAAGACTGACCATTAACACCTGAAAAACAGAAGAAAAATCATGTTAGATGATTTATAACAATGAAATAATAATCTACTACAGATGGGAGTTTCTCACATGTGATAATCATCAGTAGGAATCCGTATAGTAGCATCTCCATTACAACAGAAAAAGGCAGTAAAACAGTTATAGGTTACACTGAAGCTGTTTTAGCCACTGAACACATGCACTGACTGGAAGTTCAGCTTATAACACAATATTTCAGGCGTCTGGGAGACATTGACCCTTCCCACAAAATCATTTGCATTTTTGGAGGTTGGCAGACTTACACTACAGTTTAAAGGTGCCATGTGTAAAATGTGTAAGAATTGAGGTTAAAATATCCACACAAAAAATGAGCTACACACATCAAAACAATGAGAAGAAATAAGGTTGATGATGTCATTTAAAAATGACCACTTATAGTGCTGCAGAGATATTAACCTAAATTATCATCCTAAATTACTAGCCCCATCCCGGCAGGTGTCATAATACCCGTTTAGGCCATGGGAGGCGGTATGGGCAACATAACCACCAGCCAAACTGCAATACACAAGTAACTCGCATGGCTTGTGGGTGTCCTCGAACATGTACAGTCCAGTCCATTATTAATATAAGGGAATGAATGCTGAAGAGAGATATTTATAATTACTAAGACATACGGGAAACTGATGTCATTATGATTATAAAATAAGGAATAATTTTACTATTAACTTGTTTTTGTATTTAATGTATTCAAAACACTTCAGACCAGAGTTATTTCACTTCAGAGTCTCTTCCACTTTTTTCAGTGTAACTCAACCATGTCCACCTGATTTCTCATGAGTTTTTGAGCAGCTGTCTGTATTAGTGTTTCCACAGTGCTTCTTGCACAGTAATACACTGCAGTGTCTTCAGTCTTCAGCTGATTCATGTGCAGATAGAAATTAGAGCTGTCCTTAGTTGCTGTGAACCTGCCCTGGACTGACTGAGCTGAGCTCTTATCAGAATCTGAATAATAGTAAATAATCCATTCCAGTCCTTTTCCAGGTGCCTGACGGATCCAATACATGTTAGTGCTACTAAGAGTGAATCCACTACATGCACAGGTCAGTTTGTGGGAACCACCTGGAGCCACAACTACTGACTGTTCAGACTGTGTGAGCACAACCTGAGAGTCAATACCTGTGGATAAACAAAAAAAAAAAAATACAAATAATTAGGATCATGTATTTATTCACAATACGAAAATAGTTTTTGTTGTTATTGTTGTTGTTGTCCAGCGAATAATATACTTACCAGACACTGTGGCCAGCAACAGCAACAAATACAAAGTGAACATGATTTATATCAAGGCTGAACCAGTGATGAGTTCTCCTGTCAACAGTGCAGTTGTTTAAATATGTAACGGACATCAGATCATTTGCATAGAAGCCCAGAATTAGCAAAAACTACATCTTGTGGCCATTGGGTTTCATTTCATGAACATATTGCCAGATCTTGATATGGATATATAACAATGTCCTTCTGCAGCAAGAATACATGTGATTATTTTCCAAGCAGGCATTAGCATGCAACCTCATCTGAGTTCTATTAAAAACAGATGTGATGTTGCGTTATGTTTATGTGAAAGTGAATAAAGGACTAGCGAAGTTGTAGAGTTCAGTGTAGTTGAATGTATGAAGAGTTCAGATGAAAAAGCCTCTAAATGCCATTTAAAATTTTCTTCTTTAATGATGATTTTTATCAATCTTGTATATTTAAGTTTAGTAATTTCACTTAAATAACAATTAATAGGTAATTATCATTGCCATTTAAGTGAAATCACTGAACTTAAATATACAAGCTTGATAAAAATCATCATTCTAGAAGAAAATTTCAAATGGCATTTAGAGGCTTTTGCATCTGAACTCTTCGTATACAAACAGATCAAATAGTGGCTTCAGACACCTATGAGATCAAAGGCGATTTGTGAGAGCAAACACAAAGGTAAAACACAGTTTAGACATCCATTACCATTTTATGTGATAAGTAACTTGATGCAGGAAAGTCACAAGTGAGTAGATGAATAGTCTGTTAATGAATACAGTGGGGGCTTAAAAGGGAGAAGGACAAGTTTGCATAGGCTGCCCTCTAAAGGTATGTTTCTATTTTCTGTGTCCTTAATACCCTCTGTAACCATGTCTGCCTTTCAACATATTTTTATTTACTAGTTCAGAGACATAGTATAGTAGCTAATTATTATGACTCTTTACACAAATGTTGATATAGCTTTTCCTAAAGCTTTTTTAGTACTTGTTGTATGATTTCTGTTTGAAAACCTGTTCGAAAGATCAGCATTTCAAGATATTCAATAATGTGATGTAATATTTAACTTTCAGTTATTAAAAAAAAATCACACATTGGAATGCCATAGAACTCAGCTGTGTTTTAATTTGTGAATGTTTTTGGTTTTTGTTGTTGCATGAATTCAGTATGCTTATAATAATTGTTGTTTATTTAGAAAAATCTCCATGAAGAGGTAGTAAAGGATTTAAATCAATGTTTTAATAAAGTAAAAATCAACAAAGTGGCTTGTTACAAAAGTGACAATAGTTTTTGTTCAGCCCTGCAGACGTTTGTGTTACTGTGACTGTCTCGCACAGTAATAAACAGCTGTGTCTTCAGTCTTCAGGCTTTTCACCTCTAAATACAGCATGTTTTTGCTGGTGTCTTTTGTGATGGAGAACTGGCCTTGTAGAGACTGAGCAAAAATGGTGCCAGTGCCACCGTCAATACGGCCGATCCACTCCAGTCCTCTCCCTGGTTTCTGACGGATCCAGTGCATGTAGTAGCTGCCCACTGAGAATCCAGAGACGCCGCAGGACAGAGTCACTGATTCTCCTGGTCTTTTCACCACAGAATCCGAGGAGCTCAAAGACTGACCATTAACACCTGAAAAACAGAAGAAAAATCATGTTAGATGATTTATAACAATGAAATAATAATCTACTACAGATGGGAGTTTCTCACATGTGATAATCATCAGTAGGAATCCGTATAGTAGCATCTCCATTACAACAGAAACACTGTCAAACTAAAAGGCAGTAAAACAGTTTTAGGTTACACTGCAGCTGTTTTAGTCTCTGGTCACATGCTTATAACACAATCTTTCAAGAGTCTGGGAGATGTTGACCCTTCCCACAAAATAATTTGCATCTCTTTGAGGTTTGCAGACTTACACTGTAGTTTAATGTAGTATCTATCTAAATGTTTTTACTTTTACATTGCATTTATATTTACATTTAGTCATTTAGCGGTTTTATCCAAAATGACTTACAACTGAAGACTAAACCCAGAATTAAGAATCAACTTAAGCATACACTGAAATATACAGCTTCTCCCAGGACATTATCCAGTAATTTTACTGAAATGCCCATTAACCCTTAAGCAATGTATGTAATTCAAAATACAGGTAAAACAATATGAAAAAACCCTTCATTTTATACAGTATTGTCCACCGTTTTTTTGGGGTTTTTTTTACAGTGTTTGTAAACTTTTTAATGGGGTGTTAATATCAATTTAGATGCTATTTTGTCTTGTGGATTATATTTGTTTGAGTGCATCTGACTGGAGATTAGACCGTGATTGTGAACAAGTTATATTTTCTCATGAGATACTCAGTGGGATTCCTGAGTCAACACATTCTCACCCCAAGGCGTCACCTTTGACCATGCTTCAATATTTGACGTTTTAGGCGCCCTTTAGCGTCACTTACATGACGCGATCCTACGGCGTCATCTGACTGACGCTAAAGGAAAGCGTCAGTTAGAGGACGCGGTTAGGTTTAGGTGTGGGGTGGGGGTAGGGTACACGCGATCCTAGGGCGTCATCTAACTGACGCTAAAGGGCGCCTAAAGCGTCAGATATTGAAGCATGGTCAAATGCTCCCCAAGGCGTCAGTTAGGTGACGCCTTGGGAGTGAGAATGGGCTGCCTGAGTAGCGATCACAAATGAGGATCAGAAGCCTCAGAAAACTGCTCTGAAAAATCTCCAGTTACACCAGGGGGCTGAAGAACAACAAATCCGATAAAGAACGATTCAACGTGCAGAGCTAACATGTCTGTGACGGAGAGTTCAGAGGTTGTGTGCCACTGGGCGTGCTAGAGAAATATGCCAAACTATATGCATATGCTGCATCAAACTAGTTTTAGAACCAGCTGGTTTTAATTGTAGAAAGCTAATTAGAAAAAAATATGAATCCAGTCCATTATTAACATAAGAAAATGTAGGCTAGACTGAACAGAAGTTTCATACTGAGACATACTGCGGGAAACTGTCTGAAGTCAGTATTGATTATGAGTTAAGCAAATATGATTCAAAATGAGGAATCATTTTAAGATTAACCAACGCATTCTCACCCCAAGGCGTCACCTTTGACCATGCTTCAATATTTGACGTTTTAGGCGCCCTTCAGCGTCACTTAAATGACGCGATCCTACGGCGTCATCTAACTGACGCTAAAGGAAAGCGTCAGTTAGAGGACGCGGCTAGGTTTAGGTGTGGGGTGGGGGTAGGGTACACGCGATCCTAGGGCGTCATCTTACTGACGCTAAAGGGCGCCTAAAGCGTCAGATATTGAAGCATGTCCAAATGCTTCCCAAGGCGTCAGTTAGGTGACGCCTTGGGAGTGAGAATGGGCTGGATTAACATGTTTTTGTATTTAATACATTCAAAACACTTCAGACAGGAGTTCAGAGTATTTTCCACTTTTTCAGAGTAACTCAACCATGTCCACCTGATTTCTCATGAGTTTTTGAACAGCTGCCTGTATTAGTGTTTCCACAGTGTCTCTTGCACAGTAATACACTGCAGTGTCTTCAGTCTTCAGCTGGTTCATGTGCAGATAGAAATTAGAGCTGTCCTTAGTTGCTGTGAACCTGCCCTGGACTGACTGAGCTGAGCTCTTAGAAGAATCTGAATAATAGTAAATAATCCATTCTAGTCCTTTTCCAGGTGCCTGGCGGATCCAATACATGCTATAGTCACTAAGAGTGAATCCACTACATGCACAGGTCAGTTTGTGGGAACCACCTGGAGCCACAACTACTGACTGTTCAGACTGTGTGAGCACAACCTGAGAGTCAATACCTGTGGATAAACAACAACAAAAAAAAAATACAAATAATTAGGATCATGTATTTATTCACAATACGAAAATAGTTTTTGTCGTTATTGTTGTTGTTGTCCAGGGAATAATATACTTACCAGACACTGTGGCCAGCAACAGCAACAAATACAAAGTGAACATGATTTATATCAAGGCTGAACCAGATGAGTTCTCCAGTCAACAGTGCAGTTGTTTAAATATGTAACGGACATCAGATCATTTGCATAGAAGCCCAGAATTAGCATAAACTACATCTTGTGGCCATTGGGGTTCATTTCATGAACATAGTGCCAGATCTTGATATGGATATATAACAATGTCCTTCTGCAGCAAGAATACATGTGATTATTTTCCAAGCAAGTATTAGCATGCAACCTCATCTGAGTTCTATTAAAAACAGATGTGATGTTGCGTTATGTTTATGTGAAAGTGAATAAAGGACTGTAACGAAGTTGTAGAGTTCAGTGTAGTTGAATGTATACAAACAGATCAAATAGTGGCTTCAGACACCTATGAGATCAAAGGCGATTTGTGAGAGCAAACACAAAGGTAAAACACAGTTTAGACATCCATTACCATTTTATGTGATAAGTAACTTGATGCAGGAAAGTCACAAGTGAGTAGATGAATAGTCTGTTAATGAATACAGTGGGGGCTTAAAAGGGAGAAGGACAAGTTTGCATAGGCTGCCCTCTAAAGGTATGTTTCTATTTTCTGTGTCCTTAATACCCTCTGTAACCATGTCTGCCTTTCAACATATTTTTATTTACTAGTTCTTCAGAGACATAGTATAGTAGCTAATTATTATGACTCTTTACACATGTTGATATAGCTTTTCCTAAAGCTTTTTTAGTACTTGTTGTATGATTTCTGTTTGAAAACCTGTTCGAAAGATCAGCATTTAAAGATATTCAATAATGTGATGTAATATTTAACTTTCAGTTATTAAAAAAAAAAATCACACATTGGAATGCCATAGAACTCAGCTGTGTTTTAATTTGTGAATGTTTTTTGTTTTGTTGTTGCATGAATTCAGTAAGCTTGTTTATTTAGAAAGATCTCCATGAAGAGGTAGTAAAGGATTTAAATCAATGTTTAAATAAAGTAAAAATCAACAAAGTGGCTTGTTACAAAAGTGACAATAGTTTTTGTTCAGCCCTGCAGACGTTTGTGTTACTGTGACTGTCTCGCACAGTAATAAACAGCTGTGTCGTCAGTCTTCAGGCTTTTCACCTCTAAATACAGCATTTTTTTGCTGGTGTCTTTTCTGATGGAGAACTGGCCTTGTAGAGACTGAGCAAAAACAGTGCCAGTGCCGTAGTCAATAAGGCCGATCCACTCCAGTCCTCTCCCTGGTTTCTGACGGATCCAGTGCATGTAGTAGCTGCTCATTGAGAATCCAGAGACACCGCAGGACAGAGTCACTGATTCTCCTGGTCTTTTCACCACAGAATCCGAGGAGCTCAAAGACTGACCATTAACACCTGAAAAACAGAAGAAAAATCATGTTAGATGATTTATAACAATGAAATAATAATCTACTACAGATGGGATTTTCTCACATGTGATAATCATCAGTAGGAGTCCGTATAGTTGCATCTCCATTACAACAGAAACACTGTCAAACTAAAAGGCAGTAAAACAGTTTTAGGTTACACTGCAGCTGTTTTAGTCTCTGGTCACATGCTTATAACACAATCTTTCAAGAGTCTGGGAGATGTTGACCCTTCCCACAAAATAATTTGCATCTGTTTGAGGTTTGCAGACTTACACTGTAGTTTAATGTAGTATCTATCTAAATGTTTTTACATTTACATTACATTTATATTTACATTTAGTCATTTAGCAGACGGTTTTATCCAAAACGACTTACAACTGAGGCCTAAACCCAGAATTAAGTATCAACTTAAGCATACACTGAAATATACTGCTAATTTTCTCCCAGGACATTATCCAGTAATTTTACTGAAATGCCCATTAACCCTTAAGCAATTAATGTAATTCAAAATACAGGTAAAACAATATGGAAAAACCCTTCATTTTATACAGTACATTGTCCACCGGGTTTTTTTTGTTTGTTTGTTTGTTTGTTTGTTTGTTTGTTTGTTTTTCTTTTTTTTTACAGTGTTTGTAAAGTTTTTAATGGGGTGTTAATATCAATTTAGATGTTATTTTGTCTTGTGGATTATATTTGTTTGAGTGCATCTGACTGGAGATTAGACCGTGATTGTGAACAAGTTGTTATTTTCTCATGAGATACTCAGTGGGATTCCTGAGTAGCGATCACAAATGAGGATCAGAAGCCTCAGAAAACTGCTCTGAAAAATCTCCAGTTACACCAGGGGGCTGAAGAACAACAAATCCGATAAAGAACGATTCAACGTGCAGAGCTAACATGTCTGTGAGGGAGAGTTCAGAGGTTGTGTGCCACTGGGCGTGCTAGAGAAATATGCCAAACTATATGCATATGCTGCATCAAACTAGTTTTAGAACCAGCTGGTTTTAATTGTAGAAAGCTAATTAGAAAAAAATATGAATCCAGTCCATTATTAACATAAGAAAAAGTAGGCTAGACTGAACAGAAGTTTCATACTGAGACATACTGCGGGAAACTGTCTGAAGTCAGTATTGATTATGAGTTAAGCAAATATGATTCAAAATGAGGAATCATTTTAAGATTAACATGTTTTTGTATTTAATACATTCAAAACACTTCAGACAGGAGTTCAGAGTATTTTCCACTTTTTTCAGTGTAACTCAACCATGTCCACCTGATTTCTCATGAGTTTTTGAACAGCTGTCTGTATTAGTATTTCCACAGTGTCTCTTGCACAGTAATACACTGCAGTGTCTTCAGTCTTCAGCTGATTCATGTGCAGATAGAAATTAGAGCTGTCCCTAGTTGCTGTGAACCTGCCCTGGACTGACTGAGCTGAGCCTTTGTCAGAGTCAGTATAATAGTGCAAGATCCATTCCAGTCCTTTTCCAGGTGCCTGACGGATCCAGTGCATCCTATAGCTACTAAGAGTGAATCCACTACATGCACAGGTCAGTTTGTGGGAACCACCTGGAGACACAACTACTGACTGTTCAGACTGTGTGAGCACAACCTGAGAGTCAATACCTAGAGACCAAAAAAAAGAAAAGAAAATACTTTAGAATCACAATAATGATCAAATTGAATTGGGTTTTACATTTCAAATCCCTAAAACTTCTTACCTTAACCATAACAGAATTTTAAAATATATATAAAAAAAACACTCACTGTGTGCAGTTGCCAACAGCAGAAAGAGCTTTAGGGAGAACATTGTTTTTCCTCTTCAGATTGAACACTCATTTACTAGTTGTTTAAATAGGAAATATGACAGTTAAGTTTGCATTATATTTACTCATGCATGTGGACTGACAGTAGGTGTGTTCAAACAGGTTTTTCACAATCACCAGTTATTCATTTAATGAGAAAGGGTGCACCCTTCTGGTGTCTGAATTATTTGTAATGGTAACACTTTACAATAAGGTTCATTAGTTAAGATTAGTTACTGTAATTAGTTAGCATTAACTAATAATGAACTGCACTTATTCAACATTTATTAACCTTTGTTAATGTTAATTTTAAACATTTACTAATGTTTGTTAGTATATTGTTGTGGTTTGTGTTTGGCCTGGGTATGGGTGGCCGGCCCATGTGAATCGACTACATGAAGCTCATTGGGCTGATTTATTCACATTGATTAAATTGTTTAATGATTGAAATTGAGCTTAATGTGTTTTAGTAATTGTTAAATAAAATTGGCGTCTCTGGTTTTGTCTCTGCTCATCCTTTTATTTAGTTGAAAGCCCTATTAAGTAAAGTGAGTCATTCGGTCACATTAGCATTGGTGAAAGCATTACAGAGAGTAGAATCTGCGTTGCAATGATAAGATCTTAATTCTCGCGATCAACAGACTGTCCTTTGCTTGCTCAATGCTCATCACAGCAACATTTTATGTGATGGTAGATCTAAATTCTTTAAAAACTTCTCATGGTTCCTTAATCTCGATAGCTGTAATAGAAAAAACCTATAATAGCTGTAGTAAAAGTATTCAAGAAAGTTTTGCATGTAATACATAGCTGTTTCATATGCAAGCATGTCAGCCAATCAGAGCAGTGACTGGCTACACCGAATCCCACAGCAGACACGCCCCTTCAAACAGAGAGTTCAAATCAGAAGCTAAAATCAGGCTAATGTAGAGACCTGGATAAATGTTTGGGTTTTTTTAAAATACAGTAGAGTTTTTGTATGGGAAGAGAATTTTATTATTTGTGTTTGGGTCCGAATAGAAACACACATATGGAAACAAAAATGTTGATGGACTTGTTTATTCTTTTCATGTTCTTATTTGAGACATGTTTACAAAAGTTTTTTTCAAATGTGTGTGTAAAGGAAAACAAATAATACAATGGGACATTTAATTGTATTTTCTGAGATCGCCAGTTTGACGATGAGAACTGTGTACTTTGACCTCGGAAGTTTACGTCATGAAAAAAAAAGAAGGAGAGAAGGAAATGGAAGCAACGCAGTTTTTTTTTTTCTCTCCCGCGATTGGCGAGTGAAGTTCGTCGTTCTGAAAATGCTGACAGCAGTCAAAGCTCAGGAACAATTTTGAGTTTTGTGTGAACTGGAAAAAGTGTCACGCATGAGTTTTCAGCCGATTGGGGAAGGGGGAAAAGACCGAGGGAGAGTTCGGTGAGAGACTGAGCACTTCAGTTTCACGTGAGTGGAGGAGATCTAACACGAGTGTACCATGTGAGAGAATCTGTGTTTTCTACTATCACGTTGAATATATATATATATATATATTTTAGTTTAGTTTTAGATGGTGAAATCCGGAAGAATATATACCCGTGTTTATTTTCTCAAGTTCAGTGAGTGTTACAGTAACTATAACAGTTAACTAAGTCTGGTGACATCCGGAAGAATACCTATACCCGTGTTTTATTTGGTTTAATTTCGGATAAAAGTATCGCAGTGGTTTATGCAGTTTGGAAGTTGAAAAGTGCACGTTTTTGTTTTGTTTTGTCTTTAACACTGAGAGATCGTCGAAAGTGGGAGGTCTGTGTTGATTTTCGGGGATTCCTTCAACCAGTTCGAGGAGGAAGGCGTTCATCGACATCCACTCAACATCGGTGTGAGTTGCGTTACGGATGCTGTTTGTCATCTCGTTGGAGAGTGAAGATTGTGGATGACTATTCAACAAATGGAATTGTTGGTTTTCACTGATTTGTGAGTACACTTTTGCATCAAAGAGCTCCAACTAGCGCGCCATCTGTGTACTGAAAATCCCAGCTGGGTAAATTTTGAGTTGTACATTGACATTTGTTTTTTTGGTGGGGTTATGGTGATGATTGGTATTCAATGTTATTGAGTTGTGACTTTGTGAATTGAATTATTTGTTCATTCAAGGAGGGGAAAAACCAGACAAAAGAGTACTGAGAGAAATAAATACACAATTATTAATCTGTTATAATTTTGTGTGGTTTTGACAATTTGTTTGTTTTTTTCTTTGAGGGATTTTTCATTGTCAAATCTAAAGAAACATAATTTGACACTATCAGGTGAAGATCTGAGATCTGGGTTATATGTTGATAGTGTAACTGAAGGGAAATGTGCCTCCACCGGGGTAGTGGATAAAATTTAAGATCCCCTAGAAAGACTTTTACCTTGTGAGCCACAAGATTCTAACCGGTAGGAGGGCTACATTTTGTGGGGGCTCGTCCGGGATCTTTCAGATCATTCAGATTGTGTTTCAGAAACAGTGAACGTGTGTTCTTTGAAAAAATTGTGAAATTTTTTTTTTTTGGGACAAGTGGGAATTTTTTTTAAGTGATTTATGTGTATATTGTTTCTTTGAGAATTCTGTGAAGAGAACTTTGTTTAACATTGTTATTTTTCTTTCCCCGAGCACATACTGTTGAGGACACGGAGAAGAAAAAAATGGAGGTTATTGAGATTATTGATTGGTGCAGAGAGAAAGGTCTTGAGTTGGACAGGGTTATCATTCTGAGAAATGTACCTGCAGATTGTGAAGAAAAAGTAGTTTATGAAGTGCTGGATGCTGCTCTGGGAATGAGGAAATGCAAAGTGATTGATCGCCTCTTTGATAAGACTAAGCGACAGCAGTTTCTTCTGATTGAGACAGTCAGCAAAGTTTCTGAGATGTCTATACCTGCAGAGCTTGGAGGACCTGAAGTAGGTACCTGGTACACACAGGTTGTGCATGTTGCAGTTGAAGCACCTAAACACAGTAAGGAAGATGAGTTTCAGACTAAGCTGATGTCTTTTCTTCAAGCAGAGGGAAAGTCACTATCTGACATTCCAAGTTTAGCTTCCCCTACACCTGTGCTTGACACTAGACTGGTTGATGCCATAAACTCCCTTGTTCAAACATGTCACGTGGCTTCGTCTGAGGAGAGAGCTGGATATAGGAAGCTGCGTCCCTTCTCTGGGTTCATTCCCACTCCCCATGGAGAGGATGAGTATGAGGTCTGGGTGGAGCAGACTACTCACATTCTGGAAGAGTGGCAGTGTTCGGATAATGTCAAAAAGCAGAGACTAGTAGAGTGTCTCAGAGGTCCTGCAGCGGACATTGTAAGGTTCGAGAAGACCGGCAACCCATCTGCTACTTTCAGTGACTACCTCAGTGCATTAGAGTCAGCGTTTGGCACCACTGAAGATGCTGCAGATTTGATGTTGAAATTTAGGAGCACTTACCAGAGTGAGGGAGAGAAGCTCTCAGCCTACATAATGAGGTTGGATAGGATGCTACACAGTATGCTGAGGAAAAGAGGCATTGAGTTCTCTGAAATGAATCGTCTTCGAATGCAGCAAATAGTTAGAGGTGCTCTTTCAAGTGACATGGTGGCAATGCGCTTGAGGATGACCCATAAGCTGTGTGCCCCTCCTTCCTTCAATGAGCTAATGAAAGAGGTGCGAGAAGAAGAGAGCATGTTAAAACAAAGGAGCTCAGTGCATGCAAATGTAGCGGTGTCTGGTTTGCCCCCTGCAAAGACTGAGTCATCTGGTAACACCAACCTGGCAAATTCAGAAGTAGAAATGCTGAAGAGGGAGATTAGGGGGTTGAAGAACGAGGTGTCTCGCTTGACAGCTGTGGCGAAGGAACCAGCGACTTATGATCATTCCGCTATGCACAGTTTAGCTGCAACTGCAGAGAGTAACACACCAAACAGACCAGTGAACAAGCCAAACATCTTTTGTTACAGATGTGGAGAAGATGGGCATCTGAAACGTGATTGTACCAAGGAAGAGAATCTCAGGAGGGTAAACCAGCGGCTCATCAAAATGAGACAGCCGTCGGGAAATGCCTCCGGGGCTCAGTAGAGGAACGGCCTGAAGCTCCGGGGAAGACACGTTCCACAAAGTGCAAAAGAGCAAGAGCTGAGCAAGTAGATCTTCCGAACGGGTTAGTGGGACCCAGCTCTGTCCTTCCCATCCAGGTGGAAGGTATCTACACTAAGGCTTTGCTAGATAGTGGATCGCAGGTTACGCTGTTGTACAGATCTTTCTATGAGAAACACTTAAAGCATCTGCCATTGACACCAATTGAAAATCTGGAGATATGGGGATTAAGCTCGCAGAGATACCCTTATGATGGCTGCTTGTCTTTAAGGCTGGAGTTTCCAGGATCTGTGGCAGGAGTGGTGGAATCCATAGATGCACTTGTGTTGGTCTGTCCCGATCCTGTCATGAAAGGCGAACATTCAACATTCTGGTGGGAACAAATACGGCTGTGGTAAAGAAGCTTGTGGAAGTTTGCAAGATGAAGATGGGTAATGATTTCCTCCATACCCTCACTGTTCATCCTGAGATCAGAACTGCCTATGAACGGGTCATTGCTGTTAACAAGTGTGACATTGATGACTGTAGAGGGACAGTCTGGTTTCATCGCCTTAAGCCATTGAGGTTGTCTCCGGGAGAGAGTGTGAGGGTTTCTGGAATCTTGAAATACCCAGCCACATCATCTTCTAAAACCTTGTTAGTGGATCAGCCTGAGGAGTCCCGGTTTCCTGAGGAACTGCTGGTGAGAGCTGAGGTGCAGTCTGCTGCTGTAGTCCAGTCAAAAAGAATTGGAGTCACTATTAGGAATGTCTCTTCTTGCCCAGTAACGATTAAGAGAGGAATGCCGATCGCCCATGTGTTTCCGGTTGACGTTGTGCCTACTGTTTCTAAACCCAGAGAGAGTAGTGGACAAACCAAACTGACCAAGGATTCATTTAATTTTGGCGATACCTCAGTTCCTGAAGAATGGAAACAACGGCTTGCAGAAAAGATGTTGGCGAGAAAGGATGTTTTCTCGTGCGATGAATTTGATGTGGGATGTTCGAAGAGTACCCAACATCATATCAGACTGACAGAGGATAAGCCTTTTCGTGAGAGGTCACGGCGGCTTGCACCAGCCGACATCGAGGATGTTAGGGAGCACTTGGAGAAGCTAAAAGAGGCTGGAATCATTGCAGACTCCAGAAGTCCCTACGCTTCACCGATCGTTGTAGTCCGGAAAAAGAATGGACAGATAAGGATGTGTGTGGACTACAGAACATTGAATCGTCGCACAATCCCTGACCAATACACCGTTCCACGCATTGAAGATGCTCTGGCCTGCTTAAATGGAAGCCAGTGGTTCAGTGTATTGGATCTTAGGAGTGGATATTATCAGATCCCTCTGAGTGAAGACGACCAAGAAAAGACAGCTTTCATTTGCCCAGTGGGGTTTTATCAATTTCAACGGATGCCACAAGGGATTTGTGGGGCTCCCTCAACTTTTCAAAGAGTGATGGAAAAGACGGTGGGAGACATGAACCTGTTGGAAGTGTTGGTCTACTTGGACGACCTGATTATCTTTGGACGGACTTTGGAGGAGCATGAGGAGAGGCTGCTCAAGGTATTGGACCGCTTGCAGAGCGAAGGGTTAAAGTTGTCCCTGGACAAGTGCACCTTTTGTCAGACTTCTGTCAGCTATGTTGGTCACATTGTATCTCAAGATGGTGTCTCAACTGATCCTTCCAAAATTGAAGCTGTCAAGTCATGGCCCAGACCCCAGAATGTGACAGAGCTACGTTCCTTCTTAGGTTTCTGTGGGTACTACAGGAGATTTGTCAAAGACTATTCAAGAACGTCTTACCCACTAAACCAGTTGCTGCAGGGATGTCTACCTGCTAAGACCATGAAGAAGATAAAAGCTGGGGACAACATAGACAGAGTCGTGTACAAAGCCTCAGATCCATTTGGAAGTAGATGGACTGATGCTTGTGAAGCTGCTTTCAATGAGTTGAAGGTGAGACTTACCCAGGCTCCTGTGTTGGTTTTTGCTAATTCTCAGCTCCCGTACGTCTTACATGTTGATGCCTGCTGTGAAGGGTTGGGCGGGGTGCTGTATCAGGACCAAGGACAGGGGTTGAGGCCTGTAGCGTTTGTCAGCAGAAGCTTGACGCCTTCAGAAAGGAACTATCCAGTCCATAAACTTGAGTTCTTGGCGTTAAAGTGGGCTGTTGTTGACAAGCTACATGATTATCTGTATGGAGCAAAGTTTGAAGTGCAGACGGACAACAATCCGTTAACTTACGTTCTGACCACAGCCAAACTGGATGCTACGGGACATAGGTGGCTGGCAGCCCTTTCTGCATACGACTTCAGTCTCAAGTACAGGCCTGGGAGACAAAATGTTGATGCCGATGCTTTGTCTCGTCGTCCTCATAGGGGAGTGAAGGAGCAGGAGTGGGCTAATATATCATCCTCTGGAGTAAGATCCCTGTGTAAGCTTCCAGTGCAAGACAAGTATAACTGTTTCACGACTGCCAGCAGGATTGTCATGTCATTGGGAGGATCTCTTAAATCAGTCCCCAAAGCTTACTGTAACTTAGCCACTTTGGATACTTCTATGATTCCAAAACTGAGTTCTGCAGATCTTTCACATGCCCAGCAAGAGGATCCTTGTCTTGGAGAGGTATGGAAAGCTCTTAAAGGAGGGGATCTGTCTACGGTCAAGAAGGAATCCCACAAGGATCTCCCCTTGATCATGAGAGAGTGGGAAAGATTAAGAATGGAAAATGGAGTGATGTTTCGGTGCACTCAAGCCCCAGACAAACCTTGTCGTAAGCAGTTATGCTTGCCCAGGAAGTTCCATGATGTAGTTCTCAGGTCACTTCATGATGATTCTGGACACATGGGACTTGACAAGACCTATGGATTGGTGAGAGAGCGATTCTACTGGCCACGAATGAAGATTGAGGTGGAGAAGTACTGCCAAACATGTGCCAGATGTGTCCAAAGGAAGACTCTGCCAAAGAGAGTTGCGCCATTGTCACACTTATCCAGTGATGGACCCATGGATCTTGTGTGTATGGATTTTCTATCCATAGAGCCAGACTCCAAGAACATCTGTAATGTCCTTGTCATCACGGACCACTACACAAGGTATGCGCAGGCGTTTCCAACTAAGGATCAGAAGTCGTCCACAGTTGCGAAAGTCCTGTGGGAGAAATACTTCATTCACTATGGACTGCCTAGACGGATGCACTCAGACCAGGGACGGGATTTCGAGAGCAGGCTCATACAGGAGTTGTTTGACCTCTTAGGGGTGGAGAAATCCCGGACAACACCGTACCATCCCCAGGGTGATCCGCAACCTGAACGGTTCAATCGGACACTTTTGGACATGTTGGGGACCCTGGATCCGAAGCAGAAACCGCAGTGGAGCCGTCACATTGGACATCTTGTACACGTGTATAATAGCAGCCTGAACGAAGCCACAGGATACTCGCCTTACTTCCTTATGTTCGGAAGGGAAGCCAGATTGCCCATAGATCTGAGTTTTGGTGTGTCTAGTGATGGTACTTCCACTAAGTCTTACCAGCGTTTTGTCAAGACCATGCAGCAAGAGCTGAAGTCTGCATACGAGCTGGCGGAGAAAAAAGCTGGAAAGAAGAATGCAGGAAACAAGAGAAGATATGATCAGAAACTGCATTACTCTCACCTTGTTCCTGGAGATAGAGTGCTGATCAGGAATCTTGGATTGCAAGGAAAGCACAAGTTGGCAGACAGATGGAGTGCTGAGCCATACATTGTCCAAAGTCAGATGCCTCACTTGCCTGTGTTTCGTCTTAAGCCAGAGAGTGGAACTGGACCTGTCAAGATTCTGCATAGGAATCACATTCTTCCTGTTGGACAAGGATTGAGACAGCAACAAGTTCTTAACAGGGTCCGGGAACCCAGAAAGAGAGTTCTAAGGAAAAAGAAGGATACTGGACAGACACAGAGTCCAGAACAGAACGGTGAAAATGCACCTGTGAGACAGGAAACAGAAGCGAGAGTTGATCAGAATTCTGATGTGAGTTCAGAGAGTGAGGATGAAATGTATGGAGTGTGGTATCATGTACCTGAAAATCATCCTTTGACTCCTAGGAGTAGAGACACTTCACATAATGATTCTGAAAATGTTGTCTCAGAGACTGTTGAACATAGTACTTCTGAGGAATTTGAGCATTCTGGAGCCAGAGTTGAGATTCCTCAAAAAGTCCAGACAGATGAGTCAGTAGAGTCTGTTTCAAGACTGCTACCAGAACGTGATTCTGATAACTTACAAAGTGTGAGTCAGCCGTCAGACATTGGTGATGTTGGTGCAAGTGAAGTGCAAGACCTTTCAAATGTGAATGAGGATGATGTAAATCAAGGTATCTCTACGGAGGTAGTTGAAAAGGAGAGAAGGTCTCAAAGAGAGAGAACTGTGCCTAAGAGGTTAACCTATGATACTCTTGGGAAGCCAAAATTTGAGCCTGCCATTGCTCAAATTAAAAGTGTAAGTCCTGTTAGATACTGTTCTACCATCTTTTTGAGGTTGAATGTGCCTGCAAGAAGGTTAAGTACCTGTTCAGTTGTCTTAACTGCTAGTCACTAATTTGAGTGAATTGCTTCAGTATAGATATGGGTCTATTGTAATCTTATTTTGCTCATTCATTTGAAAAATGGATATTTGTATATGTTAAAAGAGCTAAGATATTGAAATGTAAATTGCGTGATTCTCAGTTTTCCCTCGTTATGAGGACATAACGATTTTTGGTGGGGGGAGAATGTAGAGACCTGGATAAATGTTTGGGTTTTTTTAAAATACAGTAGAGTTTTTGTATGGGAAGAGAATTTTATTATTTGTGTTTGGGTCCGAATAGAAACACACATATGGAAACAAAAATGTTGATGGACTTGTTTATTCTTTTCATGTTCTTATTTGAGACATGTTTACAAAAGTTTTTTTCAAATGTGTGTGTAAAGGAAAACAAATAATACAATGGGACATTTAATTGTATTTTCTGAGATCGCCAGTTTGACGATGAGAACTGTGTACTTTGACCTCGGAAGTTTACGTCATGAAAAAAAAGAAGGAGAGAAGGAAATGGAAGCAACGCAGTTTTTTTTTCTCTCCCGCGATTGGCGAGTGAAGTTCGTCGTTCTGAAAATGCTGACAGCAGTCAAAGCTCAGGAACAATTTTGAGTTTTGTGTGAACTGGAAAAAGTGTCACGCATGAGTTTTCAGCCGATTGGGGAAGGGGGAAAAGACCGAGGGAGAGTTCGGTGAGAGACTGAGCACTTCAGTTTCACGTGAGTGGAGGAGATCTAACACGAGTGTACCATGTGAGAGAATCTGTGTTTTCTACTATCACGTTGAATATATATATATATATTTTAGTTTAGTTTTAGATGGTGAAATCCGGAAGAATATATACCCGTGTTTATTTTCTCAAGTTCAGTGAGTGTTACAGTAACTATAACAG